TTGAAGAGAGTTCACAGTGAGGAGAGATGAAGAAAGACAGGCGATTATTATTTGATGATAGTGGTGGAGGTGGGTAGAGTTAGATACAATTTTTCATTAAAGAATTTTTTTTTATATATATATAATTATTATATTGTATTTGTTATGTGTGAATTGTGTTGGAACTTGGAAATAGTACATTCATATATATACACATATACACAAGGTATTGACAATCGCCCACCTCAGGAAGTTGATGACCAAGGTGTCTTTACACTGGTTATTACCTTATTGGTGAATCTGATAAGTTCGATTTGAAAGTATCGTGAAATTAATAAGTTCGATTTGATTTCAGTGGGTAATATTATTGTAAATTAATGTTGATCAGCAAAGATTTTAAAATTACAAATAACTACGAGAAATATTATTTTAGCACCGCGAGTGTTAAAATATCAGTTTAAGTAGCATTAATATGATATTAAATAAGAGTTATAATTGAATGAATCATTTAATCCTACATTTCATAAAGTCTGTCGCTTAACACCACCTAAATTGGTGTTGTAGAACATGTGGGTAGGACTGTAATTTGATTGAATATGGACCAGATCAGTCCAAATCAAATTCAATCTGATCCGATAAGAATAATTCTTGAATCCGATTTGATAATTTAACGAATATTTGATTGTTAAATTCATATTTGATTTGTTATGTTATAGGATATTCGTTCCGATCCGATCCGATCCGATCCGAAATATTTTAGAAGGGGGGGGAGTATCAATCTCAACACAAAATTTACCCCCAATGTATTGATGTGTCATGTATTTTTTATTTAGTAGGTCATTTCTCATATATCAAAATGTAAATTTAAATACCAACAAAATTATAATAAAGTCACTATAGAAATAAGACAAAGTTTGTGTTCCATTTTTAAGAAAAATACAAAATAAAAGCTAGAAAAAAGTCACAATAGACTTTATTAAACAAAATATGAAGTTACAACACAACACGAGGCTCCCGATCCTCGTCGGCCTCATTGCATTGCTTATGGACTTGAGAGAGTGAAAACTCGCATTCTAAAATGCACGCATATGCTTCACATATACTCACGTATGCTTGATACTTTTTCAAAAGGCTTCGCATACGGGGTATACGCGTGATAATGTGGTGAACTCATTTTGATGACCGCATATGCACGCTTACATCCCAAAATGTGCATGCATTTGTGTTATAATTTGTGTCAAAATTATCCTAGCAAAATCGAATCCATTTTTAGAACTTCAAAAAAAAAGTCAATTGGACCCAAACAAACATCAAATTAACCCAAATCATCCAAACCCATGGATTATATATAGCAATCTATAAGGTTTTGACATTTTTAAAAAAAAATAACAAATCATAAAAAAATTTCGTAGAGTTACAAACTATCTACGCCGAGCCCGAGCCTTTTTCTTCTTCGATTTTTCTCTAATTTTACTAGCAAGCGATGCTAGTAATAATCAATTTTAAATTATTGATGGTTGTGATCATAAGGAGGAGGTTGGTGATGATATCCTACCATCTACAAGAGGTATTAGAAATTTTAGAGTTGAAATAAGGGGGCTAGATTAAAATGATTTTTACGAAAAATTAGTTGGATGAAGAGGAGTTTGAATTTATATCCTATAAGGAGTTTAAAAATATTTAGAATTTTTAAGTCGATGTTCGCGTCTAATCTAATTGCAATAATTGATTACAAAGTAATTGTTTTATTTATGATATTGAGCATTATGTTTTTGTTAAAAATTTGAATAATATGCATAAAGTTTAAGTAATTAAAGTATTTATGATTTTGAGCATTTTTTTTTATTTAGAAGAATATGTATAAAGTTTAAAAAATGCATTATTTAATATATTCATTAGTTTAGAATATTTAAAATAATATTAAAATTTGAAAAGCACATAATTACGTATATGTTTCGTATAAGCACGCATATTCTTGTAATGATGATACTCGATCGAAAATGCAGATTTAGAACTTGTTTGGTAACCCTAAAAATCCAACTGAAATTAAAAATATAGTTGTTATTTGGTCTCACTTGTCTAATAAAAGTCAACAATAACGTCTAGTTTTTCAATTTTAATCCGATTTTAATCTCTACCAAACATACTCTTAGACTTTTTTCTTTCAATTGAACTCAGTTGATGATGATTTCTTCAACTGCTAAAATAGACAATGCATTTATAGATGAATGTTGATGATCAACTTACTACGCATTCAATTGATTCAAGGCAAGGATACGACAAATTCGAATAAATGAAGTTCAAAATTATTATGGATTTATGGATTGAACTACATTAAGGCGCGACATTATTTGTAAGTACTCTTAGTTGAAGGCATCAATATAGCTTGACAATTTTGTAGTACTAATTTCTATTAGGATCAATTATGACTTTGCATATCCTCCTCACCTCACATGGTATGATAGCTTGATTAAAGGCGCAAATTCAAATATATATGAATATAACAAGGAACTATACAAATCAAAACATGCCATAAACTTTATGGTAAACATTCTTTTGGAATCACTTTTTACATTTTTCAAACATGAGTTCTTGCACAACACATGGCTTTTGATTTTGATTTTGAGATATTCTTGCTCTATTTTTCTCTAGAACTTTGAATTAAATACCGTTATCTTTGACAATATTTCTTTGCCTACTAATTTCTCGTAGTGCATTCGTTTAAATTTCATTACATTTAAAATCAGTGTTTGGTGTAACTAAAAATCATATTCTTATTAGATTTTGATAAGAGTTTATGAAATCTGTAGTTGAAAAATTGATACGAGTTGTGAATTCCATAGAATGTGTGGTTAATACGAGTAGCATATTTTTCAATAATTGTTAAACATCGTTTAAATCTTGGAATTGGGCAAATGAAGATGCTTTCCTTGATATCTTTCACAACCAAACGTGAATTGCATTGTTGGTTTGGAACAATCTTTGCTTGAATAATTTATTTTATGAGAAAGCAAACTATGAAACTATACAATCTTAAATAGGAAAAGGCCAAAGACTAATGAATCTTAGTTTGGATGTTGGGTAGTTAGGTTTGTTTCTTTTTGCTTACCTAAAACAATTATTTTCAACATTTCTTTTTTCAAACTTTGGCATTCTTTCTCTTTTCTATAATTTTCCAATTAAATTAATAATATTTAATTATCTAACAACTATGTTTAGGATACAGCTCACCGGCCTTATCAAATGGAGATCTAAATATTAAATATAAATTTTTAATTCTATAATTAAGATTATTTATTAATCAATTAATACATGTTAAATGTTGTTTATAAGATTAAGAAGATATTTGTAAAAATGTTTGAATAATTTCCTATACGTACTTTGTCTGATTAGAAAAAATTTTAGAGAGCATTCATTAAAAAATTCTTCTACGAGAAGCAGAAATAAAAGTAAAGGATCACAGTGGTCGGGTCTCCACCCCTTCGGGGTGGTCGGACCTCCGCTGATAGATAGCGGCTACGGGTTTCTACGTCAAAAAAAAAAAAA